ACTGGCCTCTGGCCACGGTCCTGGCACGGCCCCGCTGCCAGAGCCCCCGGATTCCCCCAGCCAAATCTGGGCACCAAGAAAGCCGACACCAGCCAGGAGCTGGGTTTAAAAATATCCAGCATGGGTCCAGCTCTGGCACCCACAGGATGGCACCAGCCCCCAGCCTCCTGCCGGTGTCCAGTGGAGTTTGTGCATATCCAAGTTGGTTCAGAGGAGACAGTGACCCCTCAACTGTCTCTTGCCCCCGAATGAAGCCGAGAGGACCTGAGGCTGCACTGGGGACATGGCTCCGGGAGCACTGTCTCTGCCAGTGCGAGTTTTCCTTGCCTACATGAAAATCCTGGCAGATGCAAAGCTTCGACCCATGCTGTGGTCCCGGTTGTTTGAACACTTTTTCTCTCCCTCACTCGCTGGCAGCACTTGGGGTCCGCTCTGCTCTGTCCCCCCAGGGACCGGGCACAGATTCCCGCAGCAGCCTCCGCGCTGCCCACGGCCGGGCTCTCTTTGCAGATTCCTCGTTTGGGAGTGCAGGCAGCTGCCTGTGCCCAGCCCTGAGGCTGCTGCCTGCAGGGGCGGGTGGCAGCCGCTGGCACCGGGCCCCGGGGCCGCGGGCGGGCGAGAGCAGCCGGTGGCACCGGGGGTGGCAAACGCTGCCCACATCCCTGCCGGCACCTGCTGCCCGGTAATGCCGTGGCGGCTGCTGCCAGCCGCACGTGGGCAGCGGGGGGTTTGCCTGCACGGGGCTGGCTGCCTGCACATCCCTGTCTCCACTGCCGGGTCCTGGTGCTGCCTGCACATCCCTGCTCCCAACGCCAGGTTCCCGGTGCTGCCCGCATGCTCCCGCCTGCCCCGCTGCCGCCCACTCCAGTTCCGTGACCCCTCTGCTCAGGGATCCTGGGGTGATGCCCGGGATGGGGTGACTCTGCCCCTCGCAATCCCCAGAGACGGGGATTTCCTGCACATGCAGCTGGCCCCGGTTGGGGTGCCGTGATGGGAGAACCAGCCCGGTTCCCCATGGCCCAAGTAGCGGCTCCCGGTACTGCGCAGCTCCTCACAGAGGAGTGGGTGGTGTCGGGCTCTTCCCGGGACCGCCGAGGCCAGGATCTCTCGGTCTGCCAACTCCGGCCGGGTGCGCAACCCCCGGCTGTTCCCGGTGCTACCGGGACTCCTGACCCAGTTCCTCCCGGTGCCACTGGGACGCCCCATCCCGTGCACGTCCCAGCGCCACGCGGGACACCGGACTCTGTTCCCCCCGGTGCCACCGGATACCCACAAGAGGCAGTCCCGCACAGTGCACACCGCCCGGTCCCTTCCACTGGGACCCCTGCTTCTCGCCGGTGGCACCGGGGGTTCCTTCCACAGCGTCCTTCGGACACGCGAGCCCCGTCTCCACCGGGACGCGCGACCCAGTGCTACTGGGACACCCGACCATATCCACCTTGCAGGACGCCCACTGCCCTGAACCACCGGTGCCACCGCGATGCTCGACCCAGAAACCCTTGGCGACACCTGACACGCCCGATCAATCCCTCCGGTGCCACCCGGGACGACGGCTCCTGTTCCCCCGGTGCCACCGGGACACCCGACGCCATGCACCTCCCGGTGCGCGCAGCCCGCCCCCGCTGCCAGCACGCCCCCGGTGCCCCCCGCCCGGTCCCCGCATCCCGGTGCCGCCCGTACCCGGGTGCCGGCGCGGCGGCGCTCCGGTTCCTGCTCCTGCCACGGCCGCTCCGCGGGCTCCGCCGGGCTCCGGCCCCGCCACTACTTTCTCTTAAGCACTCGGTGACGCGCGGGGCGGCGCGGGGCCGGTGACGCACGGGGGGGGCGGCCCCGGCGGGGGCGCGGCCGTGACGCACGCGGGGTTCCATTGACGCACCCGCGGCCCCGGCTAAAAATACCCCCGCGGCCCCGGCTAAAAATAGCTCGGGCGCCCCTCGCTTCCCCACATATCCCCCCCGGGGCTCCGGGGGCCGCCGCGGGGGGAGGGAGGCCCCGGTGTCAGGGGTATCCCCGGTGTCCTCAGGGCCGCTGCCCCTTCGGTATCCACGGTGTCTCCTCGCTGCTGGTGCCCCGGGGCTGGCGTCCCCCGGTGCCTCCCTCCCCGGTGTTGTCTTGCTGCCGGTATTTCCGGTGTCCCCTGCTTGCTGGTACTCTGGTGCGCCTACCTCCGATGCCCCCTCGGTGCTGGCATCACTTAAATCCCCACCCTCGGTAGCCTCTCGGTGCCGGTATCCCCGGTGTCTCCTCATTGCCGGTACCCTGGTGCCCCCATTCTCGGTGCCCTCTCGGTGCCAGTATCACCAGTACCATTATCCCCGGTGTCCCCTCAGTACTGGCATCCCCTGAACCCCCTCGGTGTCGGTATCTTCAGTGCCCCCATTCCCGGTGTCCCCCCGATGCCGCTCTCCCCGGTGCTCTCCCGTACCCCCGGTGCCTCTATTCCCAGTGCCCATCTGGGTATCTCCGGTGCTCAGCGGCGTCGGTACCCCCGGTCTCCTCCCGCTCGGTGCCGGGTGCGGGGGGAGTGACGCGGGGTCCCGCCCCCGCCCGGTCCCCGCGGGGAGCCTCTGGCCGGGGCGATGGAAAGAGCGGCGGCTGCTGGCGGGCGCCGGCGCCGGGAACAGCGCCCGGGGGCTGGAAAGATGAGCTCAGCCCGTGCGGGGCCGGCCCGGGCCCGCGGGAGGGCGAAGGGTGAGCGGAAGGGACCCAGAACTCCGCAGTACCCTTCGGTGCCACGCCGGTACCCCCTCCATGCCCTCCGGTACCATCCCGGTACCCTGCGGTACCACCCCAGCACCTCCCGGGGTACCCTCCGGTAACACCTCACAGCTTCCCAGCCGGTACCCGCCGGTACTACCCCGGTACTCCCTTGGTATGTTCTGGTATCAACTCGTTAGACTTCGGTACCAGGTCGGTACCGTTCCTTGCGGTACCCGCCAGCATCCACTCCCGGGAACATCCCGGGGGTCTTGGGGACCGTGCCTGGGTTGGCAGCGCCCCCGGGGTTGGCAGCGCCGTTAGTGCTGCCTCGGTAGTGCCCCTGCAGCGGCAGAAAGCCCCGGCTCTGTCCCACCGGGGACCGGAGCCACCCCGGGGCCAGTGCCCCGGTGCCCCGGGAGCCGCAGCCGGCACTGGGGGTGCTGCCGGTACCTCCGGTACCGGGACCCTGCCTGGCCTCACGAAACTCCCGGCCCCGGGAGGATCGGGGGGGCGGGGGCAGCCCGACACCAGAGGGTCCGGAGGGCGCACGGGGGTACCGGAGGTGGCGGCCCGGGGCCAAGCGCCGTCGCCGCCTCCTCCCCTTGCCCGTTACCTCACTCCGGCCCCGCTTCTCGCTGTCGCCCGCCCCCGACGGGGTTCCGTGACATCACGCCTGTCCGGCTGACGTCACACATGGTCACTGACGTCTTGGGGATCCCGCGGCACCACCGGGGTCGCCCCCAAAGGGATCTCCCGGGCCCGGCGGGACCTGCAGGGGTCCCTGCAACACGCGACGAGGAGCATAACCGGTGCCAGCCCGGGGATACGTGCGAGAGTCCTTGGGACAGGTCAGATAGGGGGGTCCCAGAACTGCCGGGGGTCTCAAACCCCTCGGGGGCACGGAGCGTGGTGGCTGCAGCCCCCCGTGTCCCTCGCTTGGTGGCGGCGTTACCGGAGACAGGAGGGTAACACCGGCAGCCCCCGCACCCGGGATTAGCTGTACCCCGGGAGAGGTCGTGGGGACTGAGACGGATTCGGGGGAGGAAACCCGAGCTCAGCCACCCCGGCAAGGCCACGGGGGTGCAGGGGGGGACCCCTGTTCACAAAAGCTCCGGGGATCCACCCCGACACCCAGGTGGGGACAAGGGGATGCGATGGCCACCAGGTAGCCCTTCCCGAGCCCCAGGGTGGGCGTCGGGGCTCGCAGGGTGCCCGTGACCGGGCAGCGATCAGCCGGTGCCCACGGCTGGCGCTGGCTCCCTGCCCCGGGCCTATATTTATCGGTAATGACAGGCTGCTCCGGGGCGTTCCCGGCCCGTACCCCGCAGCCTCGGCCCCCCGGCCCTGCCCAGCTCAGCCGGTGCCACGCGTGACCCCGGTGTCCCACGGCCACCTGCCCATTTCCGGGCACACGCAGACCCAGGTCGGGGCTATAAAAAGCTCAGCGTGGGGTGGCAGCTGCGACAGGGGGTCCCGTGATGGCTTTGACAGGAACGGGGTGCTCCGACCCTGGCAGCACGCGGGAGGATGCCGGGAGCCGCCGGGGCTACGGGAGCCAGACCATAAATGTCCAGCACAGAGCTGTCCTGGAACAGGGACAAGGAATGAGAGTGTGGGGGAGCCAGCTGAGCCCCCCACCCCCTACTCCATGGCACACACAGACCCCTGCAGTTCTCACCCCCAGCAGGCTCTCCTGGCGTCCTGGGGGGACAGGGAGGGGAAGGGGCGACCTGGAGTCCTCAAACGTGCAACAGCCCCGCCAGAGAGGCAACCGAGACAGAGCAGAGGGCTGGGGGCTCTCGGTGCTCCGCGGAGCACCTGTGCAAGGGAATTCCCGCACACAGCGGAGCTGCAGCACCCCCCAGCTCTTGGGGGTGCTCTGTGTCCCCCAGCTCTTCTGGATGCTGCTTCAGTGGCTCTGGGGGACACTGAGGCAGGTCGTGCGGGGACCCCAGTGCCCGTCCTGCGTGGGCACCGTGTCCCTCGAGGGCGGAAGGGCTCGGGGTGGGTCCCGCTTCCCGCCGGCTGCCGGAGGAAACGGGGCAGGAAGGGCCTGGCCGGGGCCCTGCAGTGCCGGGACGTGGCCTAAGGCACCGGGGGCTGCAGCAGGCGAGGGACACAGGGGGTCCCCGGGAGCTCACTCAGGTCCGAGGGGACATCAGTTGGCCACCCCAAGGCCGCCCTGTCCGGAGCCCAGCGGGGAAGCCCACGGGGGCAGCGTGGGAGCTGCAGCCGGTGGCCCCCAGCCCCCCCATCCTGGTCCCCACGGGGCTCTGTGTCCCCTCAGTCACAGCCACACATCGCTGCAAATCGTCTCTGTATTGGCGAGCACTGACGTGGTACAACAGCCCGGGGGGAGCAGGGGTGGGACCCCCAGAGCCCCCCAACCTGGGCGATGCGGGGCTCCCCTCCGGGGAGGAGACCCCGGCTCCGGAGAGCAGCGACAGCTCCGTGAGCCGCTTCCGGAGGGTCCTCACGTCTGTCCCTTGGTGGTGTGTCCGTTCCTCACAGTGTCACGATCCCCACGGCCCGGGGGGGGCAAAATCGGAACCCCTGGGGCCAACCCAAACCTCCTTCCTGCAGCCCCCTGGGGCCAACCCAAATCTCCTTCCTGCAGCCTCCTGGGGCAAACCCAAACCTCCTTCCTGCAGCCCTCAGGGATGGAGGCCGAGGGAATGAAGCAATAAATAAATAAATAGTCCTGGGAGGGGCCGGGGGCTGCCGGCTAGAGGTGACTCTCCTCCTCCTCCAGCGCCCGGTTCAGCCCCGGGATGAACTTGAGCAGCCGCTGGCGGAAGCTGCTGTGTCGGCTCTTGCGGGGGGCGGCCGCCCCCTCCCCAGGGTCCCCGGCCCGGGCCCAAAGCCTCCCCGCAGCCCCCGGCCCCCCCGCACACTTGAGGCTGGCGCTGCGGGCCAGGGCAGGTCGGGGGCGCGGTGGGGGGGGCGCGGGACCCCCGCTGTCCTCATCCTTGTCCTTGTCCCCATCCTTGTCCCCATCCAAGGAGCTGGAAGAGGCGAAGACGCAGGTCTGGTACAGGGAGTCATCGCTGCCGCTGGCACGGGAGGAGCCCCCCGGCAGTCCCTCCCCCTGCAGGCACCAGCGGATGGACTCCAGAGTGTCATAGATGCTGGGGTCCTTGGCCACCACACCTGATGGGAGACACGGGGGTGTCAGGGGGGCCAGCTGATGCCCCAAAACCCTCCCGCCATCCCCCCGGCCCCCACTCACCCCGCACCAACCGCTGCTCCTGCACCATCAGCGAGCGAAACTCTCCCCACTTCTCATAGAGGGTTTGCTGTGGGGGGAGCATGAGGGGTGAGGACCCTGGTGAGGGGTCCCCAGCCCCCGCCCCGATCCCTGCCAGCCCCTGCTCACCTTCAGGTACTGCAGCCGGGCCTCCAGCTCGGCCCTGCGGATGGACGTCCCATAGAGCGTGTCGAGCCTGTGGGTCAGCAGCTGTCAGCACTGGGGGGCTGCAGCCACCCGGGGCCCCCCCCTGCACCCCCCAGCTCACCGGAGCACATTCCCTGAGCTCTTGATGATCTCCACGATCTCCCGGTGCCGGATGCCCTCCACATTGAGCCCATTCACTCCTGTGATGGTGTCCCCTAGAGCACATGGGGTGAGCACGGGTTCAGGGGTGCTGTCCCCACTGCTGGGGTCCCCCCAGCTCCCCCAGGATGTGCTCACCAGCCTTGAGCCCCGCGGCCTCGGCCGGGCTCCCGTCGTGCACTCGGCACACGAAGGTGAACATCTCCACGCTGTTCCTGTCCTGGTGGTGCAGCCCGTAGGTCTGGAATGGGGGGGGTCTGGTGAGGGGCACGGGGACACCTCCAGGAGCCCCCCCAGCAGCAGCAGCTGAGTGGGGCAGCAGCTGCAGCGTTTATCTGGTGCTGGGTGAGGTGGGGCAGCCCCGCAGCCCCTGGGAGAGGGGTCTTGCCCTGACGGCTGCAGCCCAGGGTTCCTCCCTGGCTGCCCCCAGAGGAACAGCCGGGGGAGGCTCAGTAACACGGCATCTCTGTCACCGCTAAAAATAACCCCCAGCTCAGAGACAACTTAAAAATACCCTCGATGCAAAGCAAGGTGCGGGTTGGAAGGGTGGGGAGCAGGGCATGCACGGCCAGGCTCGGCTCGGCTCGGCTCAGCACCCACCTGGATCTCGAAGCCGAAAGACTCCTCTGCCTTCTTCTCCAGCATCACCACCCTCCTGAGGGACACAGGGGTCAGGGACAAGGCAGAGACTCAGGTACACCCAAACCCACCTGTGCAAACCTTGGGCTCTTCTCAAAATTCTGCTTCAGGGTCCCCAAGGACAGGACACCTCTCCCTGAGATGGGATTTCCCCCACTCCCTGCTCCCAGGGATGAGACCCCCGCCCCCAGTCTGCCTTGCCCAGAGTCCTGTCACTTAATCCTGTGGGTGCCAGGCAGGATCCTCACAGGCTCTGGGGGTGTCTGAGCCCACCAGGAGCTGTGACCCCATCACTGCTCTCACCTGCCACAGATTCCCCCATAAAATCCCGCTCATTTCCAGCCCTCCTGGAGTATCCAGAGTGGAACAACATCCCAGGGCCAAGCTCCAACCCTTTGGGATAGAGACCCCAGCCCCACTCCTGTGTCCCCTGTCCCTACCTGTGCTCCTCTGGGGACTGGCTCGGGGATCCCCACTTGAACCCTGTGTCCTGCAGCAAAGGAAGAGCCATCAGCCCTTTGGGGACACCCGAGGGGACATCCCCCCACCTCCTCCAGGGACAGCCCAAACGCGCTGTCCCACCAGGACAGCACCAAACCCCGGGGGAGCACCGTGCCAAGCCGGCACCGAACCAACACCCGGGTGCCCCGCGGCTGGCCGGGCATAACGGGGCTTTGATGGGTGCTCAAAGGCACCCTCAGAGCTGCCCCAAGCTCGCCCCACGCTTTGACGTCAACCGCGCCGCACCCACCCCACGCCGCGCTCCGAGGGCCCCCGGCACAGAGGGGCCCTGTTGTGGTCACAAAGTCGGGTTTTTTCATGCAAAAATCCACCCCCCCGGCCCAGACAATGTCCCTGTTGTGGCAGGCGCAGAGGCGTGGGCGGGTGGAGGGACTGGCCGGGTAACACAGGACCCTCACCGCAGGGCAGGAGGTGACAGCGCTGTCCCCAAATGCCCCTCGTGGCTCTGGCAGCTCCAGTGCAGTGCAGGCAGTGTCACCATGAGCTGTCCCTTGGGAGCGGCACATGGCACGTCTTAGTGGCAGCCAGGTTCCCTCTGTGCTCTGCCACATGGGTGCCACCAGCCCCGCAGGTGTCACCAGACAGTGACTGACCGTCCCCAATGCGCCCACGGGTACAAAAACACCAGAACTGGGTGTGTCCACCAAAGGGAAAGTTGTCGCCTGTCACACTGGGCCCCACGTCACCACAGTGACGGGAAGGTGACGTCCCAGACCCCTCAGGGACATGTCTGGTGGTGGCCTTGGCTGCTGAGTGGAACCAGGCCACCGTGCATATCTGGGCTGTGGCAGTGCAGCCGTGAGGCCACTTCTGCTCCGGATGTCGGCTCTGCTCTCGCTTCCCCACAACGCTCAGGAAGCACCACGGGGCCGGGGGGAGCAGCAGGGCGGTGTCGGTCCCAGCGTCACCACAGAGGGGCTTTTCCAGGGCCCCCCGTGCTCCAAACCAGACCCGAGGTACTCTGTGACCTGTCTCCTACCCTCCCCAAACCAGACGCGGGGTCCGGGCTGCCCTGTGGCCGATCTCTTTTCCCTTCTTACAGGACAGAGTCCAGCGGGGCTGTGGGGTCACGCCTGTCCCAGTGACAGAGGGTGTCCAGTAGGGTGGGAGTCTGGCCCTGCACCCTGGAAGCTGCAGGGCAGGACATGGAGAGGGACCAGGACAGGATGTGGGGCCTGGGGGGAAACTGGGAAGGGCACAAGGAAGATACCTGAGGGAACATAAGGAGGAACCTGAACATGGACATGGGGCTTGGGGGGAAAACCAGGGTGGGGGTACAGGGGTAATAACCGCGGCAGGACGTGGGCAGGAGCCGGGACAGGATGTGACGCCTGGGGGGACAACATGGAGCGGGACGGGGACACCGGGAAGATGCTGCGGAAGGATGGGACGGGGGTGAAGAGATGCTGGAGCAGGACAAGAGGCTGGGGGCGGACACCGCGGCAGGATCGGGACACCAGGGCGAGATGGGGACACGAGGAAAGCTTGGGCGGGCCCCCGGGGCAGGACAAGAGCCCAGGAGGAGACGCCGGAGCGGACCCGCAGGGCGCAGGAACCAGCGGCTGGGCGGGACGGGGACACGGCGCAGCCCCGTTCCCCCCGCAGCCTCACTCCCCAGCCCGTTATCGCTCCCGGTGCCGGTTCCCCCTCCCGTCCCGGCGCACAACCGGGGGCACTGGGGAGGTTCCCGCACTCCCCCCCAGCCCTACCTTGCGCACGCGGGGCAGGGTCCCGCCGGCCGCCGCCAGCGCTCGGTAGAGCTCGGCGGGGCCGGGGCTCTCCGGGGCCACCGCCGGTGCCGCATCCTCCTTCGGCCGGAGCCGCCGCCGCCTCCGCCGCCGCAGGGTCATGGCCGGGCCGGGCCGTCCCGGGAGCCGCTATATGGACCCTGGGGGCGGGGACATGGCGGGACGCGCCCCTTTTGGACCCAAACCGCACCCACTGGGGCGTTAAACCGCGGTGGTTTGGAGATGGACCACGCCCCGTGTCCGGCCGTGTCCGGTACCGCTCCGGCCCTGGGGCCTGGGTCGGGACCACGTGGAGATGCAGTGGGGGTCTCCAGGGTGAGGGTCCTGCTTGGAGAACCCTTGGAGATGCAGTGGGGAGCTCCAGGGTGAGGGTCTTTCTTGGAGAACCCCTGGAGATCCAATGGGGGGGTCCAGGGTGAGGATCCTGCTCGGGGACCCTTGGAGATCCAATGGGGGGGTCCAGGGTGAGGATCCTGCTCGGGGACCCTTGGAGATCCAATGGGGGGGTCCAGGGTGAGGATCCTGCTCGGGGACCCTTGGAGATCCAATGGGGGGGTCCAGGGTGAGGATCCTGCTCGGGGACCCCTGGAGATCCAATGGAGGGGTCCAGGGTGAGGGTCCATTGGGTGGGGTCCAGCAGCACGGTTCTATGCGGGTTCCTGCTAAGGGATCCCGTGGGGGTCCAGGGGGGAGGTTCCGCCTCCGGTGCTGCTCGGTGACCTCTGGGGGTCCAGCCGAGGGGTCCAGTGCAGGCTTCTGCTCAGGGTCCTATGGGAGTCCGGAGTGGGGGTCTAGAGGGAGGGTCCTGCGTGGGCGCATCCTCAGGGACACGCCGGGGTTCAGCGTGGAGGTCTGGGTGCTTCTGTGGGGCAGTAGGAAGCTGGGGGAGGTGGTGTCCTGAGCGTTCAGGGTGGGATGCTGCTGGGAATGTCACGGGAGGCACTGAGGGGTGCCAAGGAGGGCTCCCAGGGATGATTTGGGGAGAAACCGGTGGGTTTTCGGGAACAGAAGCAATGCCGGGCTCTGCTGCTCCCCGACAGCTGCCACCACGTCACCCCCAGGCCGCCGACCCGCCGCCAAAGCCGCATTTGGGATTTAATGGGAGGCAGGACCTGGAGCAGGGGTGGCCACAGGCCCCGGCCCGGCTCCCAGTGGGGCAGCCGGAGGGATTTAAGCCGTTCTTGCACGATCTGTGCTGCGCTGAGCTGGGACACGGAGGGAAGAACAATTCCCGGAGGCGGCCGCGGTGGCTGCTGCGGACACCGCGCGGCTCCGGCAGCTCCTCGGTGCTCCCCGGCGGGAGGCAGCGGGAATTTTCCAGCTTGAGTTGAGAGCTTTGCCCAAATGTTTGTTTAAAATTTGCCAAAAAAAAAAATAAGATCGTAACAATCCCGCTGGCGTTCCACCCAAACCTCCCGCCCACAGCCTGGCCTGGGGTTACACCAGGAAGCAGAGCTGCTCCGGGCTGGAAATGCTGGGGAAAGGACGGGATTGAGCCCAACACCGATCCTGAGTCACCAAACCACTGGGAACGAAGAGGAACACCCCATCTTGTTCCCAAAATCTGATAATGACTTGGCCCCTCAGCTGCAGCCACCCCAGACTGATGTCCTAGAGGAGCAGACAGGTTTTACTCAATAATTCCCCATACGCTCATCTCACTGCTGCCCACGGTACCAGGATGGGGCTGGATTTTCCTGGGGACCACAGCAGGAGCTTCAGACAAAGCTGGGAATGAGGAAGGACAAGCCCAGATGGTGCCTCCCCCTCCCCACCTTGTCTGAGCCTGGGGGGACCCCAGGCCTCGGCAGATTTTCCCCTTGATCCGCTCACAACAGGCTCGTTTGCAGGAGGCTCTAATTAAGGAATTAGCAGGGGCAGTTCATGCAGCCCATTTACCCTGGCAGCAAACAGGATTTAATAGGGGCAGGTTGATGTAGGATTTATCTTTCCTTGAAGCTCTGGGTCCATGTGGAGACTCGGGATGCTCCAGGGAGATGCCCACTGTACCCACCACACCCCAGGGATGCTCTGAGGGGATCTCCAGGGTTTTTATTTATTCTCTCTCCTGCTCTGTGCCTTTCCCCAGAGTGGGAGCCCCAAGTTCAGCTGCTCATCCCTGCATGGGTGGAAAATCCAACCTGTCACCTCTTTGTCTCACCTCCACCTCCTGAGTGCTTGGTGGGTGGTGGAAGCTGCATCTTCACTAAAAATGGACCTATTCAACATTAAAATGTTTTGACCAGGATTCTTAGACATTATTTTAGGTGTGAGGGATGAGGCCCCCTTCCCCCAGGCCCCCCTCTGAGGCGCTGAGCTGTGCCCTGCAATTCCCACCCCTCCCAGTGAAGTGAGACTGCAACACCTCACATGAATAAAACAAACTTTTAATAATGTACAGCAGAAATCGACAGCCTGGTTTTATATTAAACAAAAGATTTCCTATCTTACACCATATGTACATTTGCATACTGAAGAGGTAAAGTGGCTAAGTGGCTATTTTCTTACAGTCCTTTGCTAAGAAAATGTACAAAACCAAACAAATCAAAGGGGCAGAGAAGTACCAAGAGTTCTGTCCTGCAGCCATGTACCGCTGATGGATCCCCTCCTTGTCCTGCACCCGGCTCCCCTCAGAACTGCCTGCAATGCTGCTTTTTCCCAGAGCTGCTGCAAGTTTTGGAGCCAGGCAGCAACTCCCATGTGCTCCATCAGCTGGGCAAGCACTGGCACCCCCGGGCACCGGTTTGCATGAAAGTGCTGTGTAAATGCTACATGGTCAGCGTTCCTGCCGCGGATCCCGCTCGCTTTTCCCCATCTCTCTTGAAACGAGGCTTTTCCTCAAACCCTGCTCATAAGGACATTGCCCTTCCCTCGTCCCAGCTGGCCCAGCCCCGCTGGCTGGCAGCTGTTTGGTTTAGCTGAGGCAGGTGCAGTGTGGCTACAGTTGGAGGGGGTGAGTTCAGTGCAAGTTCTGGAGCTGACAGCACCCGTGGGGACGTGCAGTCACTGGGATGGCAGACCCAGCACAGAGCCTGCAGCACCTACAGCTGTGTGATGTCCCCTCCTGTCCTTCCCCCAGCTCACAGGGCAGCCCTGGGGCCTGCTCCAATGGCCTTAGGGCTTGCAAGTGCCCCCATCAGCTTCTAAATGCAGGTTTTAGGGACGTGTGCTTGGCTGAGATGGGACTCAGGACAAGCTGGGAGGGGACGGGGGATCCCCATCCCTGCTCCCACGGCAGATCCACATCGCCAAAAACTCCTTGGGGGATGCAAAACAGCTCCTAACATGATTCAAAAACCACACTCCTCACTTTATACAAGGTCATGGACACACAGGGAATGGGGGGGAGAAGGACACATGGACAGGGACACAGACAGCAAGAACAGAGGGATTGAAATAAAGACTTAACCCTGGCGGCCGGAGCAGAGATGAAACCTCACCTTAGAGAGCAGGAGCAAGGTCAGAGTAGAAACAGTTCCAGTGTAAATCGAGCTGTGCATTTGGTTCTTTTTTCTTTTTTTTTTCTTTTTTTGCAGTGATTTCTTTACAAACCAACAGGTCAAGAGGTAATAATTAGAGATTGTTTTTCTGCTCTTAGAAAGAATTAACAATATTCAAAAAAGTTAAAATCCAGACCCTCCCAGAAAACAACAATAATAATAATAATAACAATAATTAAAAAAATAATAATCAAAACCACTCCAGTTAAAAGTTATGGCTTCAGAGTTCTCTACTGCAGACACTGACCTGACCTCCAAACCACGGCTCTTCCTGACTGCCAAAGGCAGCCACAGCCCTCACTTCCATGTTTGCTGTAGTCACCCCACCTCTCCCTCACCTGGCATTGAATCAAAAGAAAACCCATGCAGATCCCCCCACCCCACACTGACACACAGCCACTTCCACATTAGGAGATATTTATACACCTATATTAAAAAGATGGATGTTGATTTCCCAACCCACACCTGCTGTCAGATCCTGCCCAATCCTGCCCAGCACCCCTGGGAGCTGCACAGCTCCCCAGAAACTCAGATCACAGAATGAGCCAGGTTGGAAAAGACTTTTGAGATCATCAAATCCAACCTATGACCTAACCTAACACCTCCTCATCAAGTAAACCATGGCACTGAATGCCATGTCCAGTCTTTTTTCAAACATGTCCAGGGACAGTGACTCCACCACTTCCCTGGGCAGATGATTCCAGTGCCCAATCACTCTTTCAGTGAATAATTTTTTCCTGATGTCCAGCGTGAACTTCCCCTGGTGCAGCTTAGGGCTGTATCCTCTCATTCTGTCAGTGGTTGCAGGGAGCAAAGCCTGACCCCCACCTGG